TCCACATGGACTTGATGGCAGTGAGTTTGAGCTTTGTTGTTGGCGGCATCTCACACCCTTGGAGAACCCCTGCCCTGGACTCTGCCATGCAGGGGGTGGGACTTGTAGCCCAACGTGAGCTGGACTTTGGCGAGTGGGAGTCACATGCGGAAGGGCCCTGTGGCATCTGCTTCCACATCCTCGTGCAGAAAATGTATGGAAGGATAGCTATGAGGACATGTGCCTCTCTTCCCGAGCCAGCATTCTGGGGGCTCATGTTTTGATTAAGAGTGAGATCTTAGGGCTCCTCGAGTGAAGAGAATCGACACTCCCATTCCTAGGCAGTCCTGAGCGTGTGTGTGTGTGTGTGTGTGTGTGTGTGTGTGTGTATGTGTGTGTGCCTAACATGAACGCTATTGCATGTTTCCAGCTGCTTAATTTGGTGCATCAGTTTGCCCCGCGAGTTGCTCCCTTTTTATTTGGGCGGGTTTTTCACGCAAGATTAAGCTGAATTATTCCATTTTACAATATGGACTTGTTTTTTTTGCTGCAAATTCATTCATTTATTTTTTTTGGCTGGCGAGCATGAATGATCCCTCACCGCACTGAGGGGAGCAAAGCTGGCAGACTGGGCGCCGGTAGCTCTCCCCTCGCTCCACTGGCCACGGTCTGGTTATTCCTCTCCTCCCGTGTCTCTCTTTCCCCGTTTCCTAGCGCCTTGCCAGCACCCAAATGGGATGTGATCAGAGAGGCTCGGGTCTCGGAGGAAGTTTCAAAATATTCATGGGGTAGATTCCATGATCTCCCCACTCTTATGAAACCCGGGAGGCTCCATCATCCTTTGAGGGCAGCCTCAGGCCTGTCTGAGAGATCAAGTGGATGCCCGGGTGGATGATAATTCAGAGTAGAGCCTTCTGGAAGGAAGAGCGAGGCATGAAAATGTCTGTTCCCAGGGACCTGACTTTATGCTTTCAATCGGAATTGGCCTTCCATGAAAATAAATGAGTAGTTATTAGGACAGAACTCCTCTGTCCGAAGAGGGAAGGAAAGGGATGTGGGACATGTCCAGGGTGGTGGGAGGCAGAATGAAAGCTGATTTTTCTTATACTTGCGTGAACGCCAACAGTGGGCACCCGGGAACAGCATCAAACTCGTTTGAAGGGCCTGACTAACAGTGTGGATGTCCTCGTGGGGTTTTGCTATTAGCAATAATAATAACAGCGGAGTATGTTTATACAAGGAGCCCTGATGGCACAGTGGTCATGCACCAGGCTGCGATCCGCAAGGTCTGCAGTTCGAAACCACCAGCCGCTCTGTGGGAGAAAGACAGGGCTTTCTCTTCCAGTAAAGAAGTACAGTCTCAGAAACACACAAGGGCACGTTTACCTGTCTTACAGGGTCGCTCCGAGTCAGCATCCGCTCAAGGGCAGCGAGTTGGACTGTGGAGAGCATGTGTGTGCCGTGCCGGATAATGAGGGCCTCGTGGCACTTACTCATTCTGGGTGGTCAGCAGACAGCTTTGTCTCAGAAGACAGGTTTCCGTGGCATCTTCCTCGGTAGAAGCCCTGGTGGACTGCCGACCACAGGTCCACGGTTCCAACCTACTGGAGGAAGATGAGGCTGTCTAGCCCCGTAAAGACTTCCAGGCTCAGAAACCCACGGGGGCAGGTCTCCTCTCTGCCTCTGTTCCGTAGGGTCGCTGTGAGTCGGAATTGACGTGGCGGCAGTGGGTTTCCATGAGGTGAATGAGACGTTGTGGCCGTGAAGAGGCTCGGGTCGTGGGGCGTGCTAACCAGCCTGGCTGAAGGATGAAGTTGGGGCTGTGAGCTTGTGAGGGGAGGGACGGGGCTGGGGTGAGGGTGGGG